TGTGTGAGCTCATGGTCTGGTAAGGAGACAGGCAAATAGACAATTACATTACAGTGTGAGGAGTGTACTTCCTATGTAGGTACAAGGTGCTAAAGACCAGGGGAGAAGTACCTAACGCAGACCAGTTAAGTGTCCCTGGGGAGGTGACATGAACTGGATCTTAATGGATTGTAGGATGGATGCAATCTATAGTAAAGAGAGAAATGGGAGTCCAGGTAATGAAAAAGTATACAAGAGAGAGAAAGCAGAATGCTTTTGAGACTGAGCAGCTAATGTGATAGGGCTGGTGCAGAAGCCTGTGGGGAGTGTGGAGGAGAAAGAGGAGGCCACAGTGAGTTCCTGAGACAGAACTTTGAGGCACACCTGCACTTAGGATGATAACACTAGAAACAATATTCATTGAATGACTGAAATAGGAGTATGGAGACACACTTACTTCCTAAAAAATTAATAACTACAATCAGGATCAGCAGGTGAGAGCCAAAGAAATAAAGATTTAGTTGAGAACAATAAAGTATTTTCTAGTAACTGATGTTATAAACCAATAAAAAAAAACATGTTCATAGCAATGATTATTCAATAGGCAGTTTGCAGAATGCCTAGAGCAACACTGAAAAAGTAGACTCCTAATTTTTTTTCAGATATTTGAGAGAATTCATTTTAAGCAGCCTGCATCTTTTTCTTTTGTTGGACTAGGATGAACTTCCCTGTGAGGTTGGGAACATTCCAGTCCAAATCAGTCAGCAAAGGCTAAACTAGATCATTTAAAATCTTTCTTTTTCTTGCACTGTCACACAAACTGTATATACAACTTGCCATGTACTTTCTAGTAACATTAGTTAGCATTTCTTGACTGTGTTGTATCTCCCAACAATACTTTAAATTACTCATAGCAGGGATTTTAGAACTTCTCCTTCACAGGTTCTTCATAGCCTAACTTATTATTAATGACTTTTATGTATTCATCACTTAATCCTGAGGTGCTCTTTGTAGTCAATTAAAAACCTAAAAGCCTAAAAAAAAAAAAAAAAAAAAAAGAAAAGGGAAAGAAGAAAGAAAGAAAAACAGTTCTAAATACATCAACACAAGACAAACTGTCTTAATGATCGTGGTGTAATGAGCTTCTTAATAGCTGACTATAGCTATATTCTCCGAATCTAGTTAATTGCCTGGTTCCAAGTAAGCCCTATATATGTCTGCTGAATAAGTGAGAGAATGAATGATGACTAAATGAACATTTATTTAATCCTATGTTGAGGACAAAAATATTTGCTTCGGTTTCCCAGAGCCATTTTAATATATGTTTTCTCTGTCTTTTAATGTACCGGTGTTTGATCTCATCTTTGTAGTGGTTCTGCTCTCTACCTGTGCAATGCGGGGAACTGTATTTTATATTTTTTGTCTTTACTTTTATTACTCTCTAAGGTGGTTTTAACTTTGCATTCCATGTTCTTTTTCAAAGCATGCTGAATCTTTCATAGAATTTTAGGGATGTTTACACTAAGGTAAAAAATCCATTTTAGGAAATAAGAGAAATGTTGCTTTCTGAAGATTACAGAAACTACAAGGCCACTTAGTTTTCATCACATCGCATTTGAAAAACTGATTTTTATTTTATTTTATTATTATTATTTTTTTGACTGGTAAGGGGATGGCAACCCTCGGCAGGCATGGTGTTGTCTGCACCATGCTCAGCCAGTGAGCGCACCGGCCATCCCTACATTCCCTATATAGGATCCGAACCCGTGGCCTTGGCGCTACCAGGCAGCACTCTCCCGAGTGAGCCATGGGGCCGGCCCAAAAAGCTGATTTTTAAAAGATGAAACAAACGTATAACAGCAATATTTTATTTTCAGTAGGTAAAAGAAAAAGTTAGTAAATATAACAATTGTCATTATAACAAAACAGACAGTTAAATCTTCTTCTATAGCATTCTCATAAAAACACACTTTTTATATTTTTTATATGTCTATAAGCCATATTGACTATACATAGTCCGTGTAGACGCTCTACCCCATCTTCAAGATGCCTTTGGCTTTTGCTAAAATAACAGTGAGGTCATTATGAAAACATAATAATTTCATTCAAAATTTAAATAGTATTACACTCATAATGCTAGAAAAGTGCCTCATAGACTTCTTGATGGACCATTACACCTTCAAATTCGGTAATGGATTCTTACAAAGATCACTTTGCAATTCATTCAACTCACTCCAGTTCGGTTTATTAAGTATTTTTCTACACGCTAACTCCAGCAACTAGCATTAATGATTCAGAGAAGGATAACAAAAGCATACCATCAAAAAAGAGAAAATTTAAGGAAAAAAGAGATTGTAAAACAAGGTGCTTTTCACCAAAGTTTGAGTATAGATTCTCCCATAAGTTTTTCCATAAAGTGTTTACTTCTGGGTAAGATTAAAAATGAGGGTGGAGAGCAAGGAAAAGTAAAGATAAAAGAGTGGGAATTACATTACATGCAGAAAGGCCAAAGGCAGTTAAAGAAATGAACACAATGAGACACCGAAGGGAGAAGGTAGCCCCTAATAAATGTGTACCACTTCTAGTCTGATAATTCCTGAAGATGTGACGCCTTAAGCTTCACTCTTATTGCCCCATGCTGTGTCACGAGTATGCTTTCATGACAAAATTGGCAGTAGTGCAAGAGTGTCATCATTTCAGTTACACATATATTAGCATTAGCAACATGACAGTGGGAGAATTACCTAGTCTCTCTGAACCTCAGATTGATAATCTACCATGGATTGATAGCCTAAAAGGCCATAAATCTCTAGTGAGTAATAGATTAGGTAGTCCCCAATAGTATATGGTAGTAATGGTACACAGAAGAACTAGGTGACATGTACTTGGTGATATTCTGGTTAGTATCAAGACTTGTTTGCTAAGGGTACTAAACTAATTGTCATATCAGAAACAACATTAACTCATATATACTTGTCATTTATTTTTTCTAAAATAGGACTAAAAAAGTTTAACTTTTTCAAAAATGACATAGTTTTTTAGATAGCAAAATATGATATGTAATTTTTTTGTTCTTATAAAGTTTGATTATTCATCTGATTGAATACATAAACCTTAAATATCAATGTACAATGTAGACAAGAAAATTGTAATAATTTCTACTAGACTGAAAGCTAAGCAATCAAAATATGTAATTTTAGGCCCTGAAATATAATCAATGATTAATGTGTAGAAGCAATTGATGGATATTCAAATTTCACAGGTAGTAATGTCATGAAAACATAGAGGAAGGCCATTGCTCTCTGCTCTGGAGCTTGCATATTGTACTTTCATTTGAAACTGTGGATTTGGAGCTTTCTCATTGTCTATTTTCCCATAACTTTGATAAGAACCTTCAGTTGCAGGGCACCAACAGCCTAAAAACTAACCCTTGTTTGCCATCATGGTAAAAGAATATGGGAAGATTGACAGTTGTAACTAAGTTGTAACTAAGGACTATTGCCATCAGTCTAACTGGCCCAAGTCAGGATCCCCCATGCTTATGTTGGCTTCCATTGATTGGTCTCCCTCCTGTCCCAGGCTTGTTATCTCCCTTTTTATTTCTGTAGTAAAAGAGAAATTTCCTTTTCCTTTGCATCTTGAGCCCTACCTATCTATTTTAGGGTAAAAACAAACCCACTCACCCTATAAAGATGCTGTATTCCTTAGGGTCTGCTGTTATGACATCTTGATATGAAGAATTACATGTTTAATCAGAAGAAAACCAAAACTGTATTCAAATGCATTCCCCAACAGCTACTAGCTAAGTGATTTGAGGCAAGTTACTTAATATTTCCAAGCCTCTGTGTCACAATTATAAATCGGAATAATTGCATCTCCCTTGTAGTCATTTTGTGAGGAATGGATTAGACAATATATTTTATTTAGACCACAAAATGCTTGGGCTAAAACACAGCTCAACCAGTGAGTTTCCTTCTTGCCAGCTTGTTTTTATAGGATCTATATTTTCCCTAAGTCTCAGGAATATTGTTTCTACTTCTATGTTTTCTTATTCTGAATTATTTTGAAGGCTTTGCTCCTTTCTCTTTTTCAGCTATACCAGGTCTTGACCAAGCTTTCATTTTTTATATTTTTGTATTTTTTTAAATGGAATACTCTTTCTTTGCCCTTTTAACTTAATTTTATAGATTCAAACTGGCATTACATTTTTTTCCCCTGACTTTCTGGCTGATTCATACCTCTTTTCCAAAGACCCTTTCATAGTTTGTAGTTTAGAAAATTCTAGCTTCAGAGTGATGTCAGCAAGATGACAGAAAAGGAAGTCCTGGATTCTTCTACACAGACACAACAGCAGCAGCAACACACAGATCAATTCCCTTTTTTATGGACTTTTTTATGGATTTGTGAGAAATCCATGAACTAAGTGTTGAGGGTAGATTTCATGTTAAGTGTTCTTACAACAATTAATATACATATTTTTATCATATATATATGTATTCACTCTGGATTCAAGTATCTGCAGTCGAATTATATCATTATCCTACTAATCTAAGACATTTATTTATTGAGCACTTACTTTACTCTAAGCAGTCTTATGACCTCTAGATACAACAGTGAACAAGTCCTCTCTCATAATTTACAGTGTAAATGAAGCTGGTGACACCATACTATTTTTTAACAATGAGCAAGCTTCTTCTGAATGTTCATAGCAAATCAAACAGTACATCTGCATCTGCATACACTCAACCCCAGCCCCTTCCATGTGTCTTGCAAGACGTTACTCTTCAGGAGAGAGAAGCATGCTATCATAAGATCAGCTATCAGCAGTTATTATTATTTGCTACTAAAATGAACGTTTATGTTCTGCCACTTTTCTCATTCCTCACAGAAATGTTGAAAATTATAAATATTTTCTTTTTTTTTCTACGCATAGTGACACTATTTTACAAATATTAGCAATTATTTCACTAATTTGTGATTCTTTGTTTTCTATCAGTAGAAACGTTTTGAGCTATACTCACTCAAATTGTAAAACTTTTGAGTTTTTATATTCACTCTTCAGATTGCTTGATTGGAAGATCTCATCTATCTAAAAACAGAAAGTTTGAAAAAGCATATTAAATTTAAGATTTCAGCTTTTGCTCAAAAATGTATATAAAGTAATCTCAATGTTCTGCTTAGAACTGGGGAAATTTTCTCTGTGGTGCTGGGTCCCATACATTTAAGTGTCCGGGGCATATTACACTTATTCGCTCAAGTTTTCATAGTGAGAAAATGGGAACTATGTATCTTTTGGCAAATAGTTAGTAAAACTCTGCTATAAAATTTTAAACCAGCTGAAGAGAGACAGTCCCTTACCATTTGCTGAAGGTCAAAAGCAAGAATTTTGAAATCCTCTGAGAGTTTGTCTTGCAAATTAGGATTATATGTAGCTCCGGATGTTATTTTAAATGTCCCTCTGGCTTCATGACTTGTTTCAAGGACTGAATCTATACAAATTAATAAAGAAAACACTACAAATGTGATTTATGAACAGGAAAGAGTAGACACATTCTGGATAAGATAGAAGTAAAGTTCTTGCTTGATGTATGTAGTTCTTGCTTTTTCTTTGCAGTCTTCATATCTGGTTGCTTTAAAAGATTAGAAAATAAACTTTTTTTTATACTTTATTCATCTTTTTGAAGTCTAACCCACACTCTAAGCTTCCAAGGTATCTTTGTTATTGAGATTCTCGTTGGAAGATACAGGGACTGATCAACTTCCACCAATTATGAAAAATGATTCAGGGAAACATGGTGAGAAGTGGATCATTAAAAATTTTGTAGTTGCTTTCAGATACTTCTTGAACACCTAGCATCCAGGGACACTGCTGGTTTTTGACATGTGGATTGCTGTGAAGATTTCAGTGTTCGTGTTACTTTGTAAAATAGCTTTGAAACTACTTTTTTAATTCTAGTAATTATAAAATTGGCAAGGATGACCTTTTGCTATTAGATGGTGAGTTCTTATTGAAGAAGTTATTGCACCTGCTGTTGGAAATATATTATCTCAATAGAAAAAAATGTAAGAAAATGGCAAATTGAACATAAACATATGGAATAAAATGTGTCATTTTTTATTACTTATCCTGCATAATCTTTTTATCAGAATATTTTCTTTAATATATACAGTAGACCCTTGAACAACACTGGGATTAAGGGTGCCTCCCCTGCCTTGCACAATTGAAAATTCACATATAACTTTTCGCTTCCCTAAAACTTTACTAATAGCTTTTTGTTGACTGGAAGCCTTACCAATAACATAAAACAATTGATTAACACGTATTTTCCATCCTATATGTATTATACAATGTATTCTCACAGTAAAGCAAGCTTAAAAAAAGAAAATATTATTAAGAAAATTATAAGGAAGAGAAAACCATGAGATTTCACTTTTACTGCAATATACAATTTACTGAAGAGGAAAACTGCTCATGCAGAGATGATAAACAGCACAAGACTCTTTCAGCAGATACTTGCAACACTTGAGCTTACCACAATAGCAGCAGCAGGTGGTTACAAAGTTATTACAGTAGTACAGTATGTATGAGAGTTAATTTTATAGTAATAATTTAATACTGAATCTTTAAGTTTGTTTGTATTTCTCTTGAATATTAACAATATCATGTATGGTTTGTAAGTGTTCACCTGTGTAAGTTTTGATAAATTTTTACTTTTATAGTAGATTGGTGTATATTTTATGGTAGTAAATGATAAAATAGATGTATTAGTCCATTTCCATTGCTTATAATAAAATACCTGGAAATGGGTAATTTAGAAAGAAAACAAAATTTATTGCTTACAGTTTCTGAGGCTGAGAAGTCCAAAGTCCAAGGAACACATCTGGTTACATGTGGTGACAGTGACCTAGGGGTCAACCATTGCAAGATGGGGTGGAAGCAGACAGAGCAGAGAGAGAGGCAGACTTCCTTCACTCTTCTTTTAAAGCCCTCAGGACCATGTCCCTGACTGCCATTATTGATGCATTCACTACAGCATGGTCCTACCATCCAATCATCTCTTCAAGCCTCCACCTTTCAATTACCATAATAGGATCTCCCACCCTCTTAGTCACAGTGGGGGCCAAGTTTCTAATACATAAAACTTGGGGGACACAATTCAAGCTTCTGTGAGTGGGGGCCAAGTTTCTAATACATAAAACTTGGGGGACACAATTCAAGCTTCTGTGAGTTAGGGGGGTCATAATTCAATACACTACAGTAGTCTAGTATTTACATATATTTTATGCATTAATGACATACCTTAATTTTCCTTAATTTTTTCAGTAGTTCTTTGCAACTCATCTGCATGCTTTTTTCAAATTGTTGCAAATCTCCAAAAAATTTTCCAACATATTTATGGGAAAAAAAATGCATATAAGTGGACCCCTGCCTGCAATTCAACCCTGTGTTGTTCAAGTATCAACCATATTTATATTTAAAATGAATTGCTTCAACTGAAACTCACACATTGATGAAATTGTTAGTAAGTTTAGTAATAATGATACATAATTCTCACAATGATCTGGTGAGAGATGATGTTATTTCTTCTTTTCTATGATGGGGAAATGGAGTTTAGAATGACTAAAAAATATTTCTTTTATTTTTTTTTTCCTTTTTGTCTTTTTTCGTGACCGGTAACGGGATCACAACCCTCAGTGTCGCTCCCGTACCGGGACCGGCAATGGGATCGCAACCCTCGGTGTCGCGCCTGCACCACGCTCAACCAGTGAGCGGACCGGTCTCTATATGGGATCTGAACCCTCTGTGTGAGCACTGCCACGATCCCAAGAGTCGCACTCTACCGAGTGTGCCACTGGGCCGGCCCCTAAAAAATATTTCTGAAGATAGTAAAGGTCTTAAGGGACATATCTGGAATTTGGACATAGATGCGGCTGACTCCAGGATCCAGTATCTGTCATATATTGACATCAATAATATTTCAAACAATAAACTTGCATATAGTCTAAATAGTTACCACTGCAGAAATTGTGTAACAAATTATTATTTATATGATTTAATTTATTCTTAAATACTCAAAATTACGTTGATTTGAATGTTTAAATGAGGAAGACAAAGAAAGATGGAGAAATTATCACAGATTAAGGGAGACATAAAACATAAAATTGAACCCTACAAAGAAATCTGCATTGAATTCTGAATAGTAAACAGCATTAATGGAAAAACTGGTGAAATTTTAATTAAGTGTGTGGTTCAGAGTAATATTGTGTAAATGTTAATTTCTTGGTTGTTAAAATTATACTAAGGATATACAAGATATTAGCATTAGGGGAAGTTGGGTTATATGAGAACTTTAAACAATTTTTGCAACTTATTTGTAAGTCTAAAATGATTTCCAAAAAGAAAAAGTAAAACATGTATATTAAAATAGTATGTTGGCTTCCGGTCAAGATGGTGGAATAGACAGTCCCAGAGTCACTCTCTCCCATAAATCAACCAATTTACAACTATTAAAAAGCAATGACAGCTAAGCTGGGCCACTAGAGCTCAGGGGAAGAGGAGGAGAGACTGATGGAGTTCATGAAGGCAGGAGAAGCCATGATGAAAGAAAGAAAGGATCACTCCCACCATTTGGAGAACTGGCTGCTTCAAAGCTTGAGCTGATGAACACATGGAGCAAGAGCTGGCAAAACCACAGCTGTGCCCTTCATATGAAGTTGCTTGGAGGTGGCAGGGAAGAAGTGGGTCTTGGTGGTCTCCAGGCCAGCAAGACCACTAACAGTGTTCCCAAGGACCCACATAGGAGTGGGAAGCCACAGACAACTGAAAAAAAGGAGTCACTCACAGGCAAGTGAGTAACTGTGGGGGCCTGGCACATGGCCCATCCCATGGGAAGTGTTTGGAGTATGGGTGCTCAGGGAGATGGGCCCACCATGGGAGCACTGGGGCACAGCATGGATAGCTGATCTTTCCTCCAATCAGCTCAGGACCACTCAGAGGAGACTGTTCAGGAATGTAGAACAGCAGTAGTGAAGTTTTGTGAAAAGACTCAGGCCTGAATGAGAGTTTGCATGCAGCCCAGGTGTACCAGACCTCACAAGACCTGGAAGAGCTTACAAGGTCAAAAATTAAATCCCAAGCTGCACAAAAAGCCTTCACCAGAGAATCAGAAGTAAAGCAGCAATTTAGCTCAACCACAAACTTCAAGTGCTAGTTCCCTTAGGAAGTTCCCCTATTTTAGAAGTAACCAAAGGATAACAGATTAGTTTCAATGCAGAGTTTAAGTACTGGGAAAAGCAAATAATTCAACACAGAACTGAAAGAAAAAAACAAAATACCAACAGATCAGAGACAAGGTTTGATATTAACCAGTAAAGTTCTAACACCACCAAAAAACACCTATAAAACCTAGTGTCTGGCTACGGCAAAGACTAAGCCATATGTAAAGCTAGGCGACCATGCCAGTTGTCGGGCTCTTTTACCTGCCGGTAATCCTGCACCGACTGGGCTGATTGTTGAGATAGGGCTGGGTCTGGAGCTCCCAGACCCCTCAAGCCCATTCACAGACTTGGTCACAAACCCTTCATATGCCAGGCTGGGTCACCAGACCGCTTTATGCAGGTCTATGAGCTAGGTAACCAGCCCAAACGTCCTTGGAGCCACAGGTTGGAAAGCATGGCTGCACAGGGCGGATGTCCAAGGCCGACTCCAGCCCATCTGCTTCACTAAAACTCCTCTCTCTCTCTCTCTCTGCTTCTCTCTGTCTCTGTCTGTCTCTCTCTCTCTGAAGAAGAACACAAAAATAGCAACAAAACTAAAAAGATACATTGGCGCACTTGCGCACTAACTACACACACACACACACACACACACACACATACACACACACAATTTGCTTACAAAAGATGCTGAACCACACCCAAGTGGACCCGAGGCGAGGGCCCTGACCCAACTATTCTATTTTCCCAACACCTAGAAGGACTGGAAGCCTCCTGGGCACCCAAACTGGGGAGTGAGGGCTGTAGGTCTCAGCTGTGCTCCCCTGACAACTGCAAACAGTCCAACGATGACCACTGAGCCACCGCAGGAAGTCCCCCAGGCTCCTAGGCTGGGACAGTGGAGGGCCAATATCCTCAGCCATGCTCCCCTGACATCTGTAACCAGCTCAGTGAGGACCACTGAAGCCACCACAGGAAACACCCTGGACTCCTGAGCTGGGGTAGTGTGGGGCCGAGGGCTTCAGCCATACCCTCGTGACATCTGCATCCAGCCTAGCAATGATTGAGCTGCTGCTTGAAGTCCCCTGGTCTCCCCTGCCAGAATGAGGGGGGTGCCAAGGGCCTCGACCATGCCCCCTTGTTCTCCTTCCACCCTATTTCCCCTCCTCCCCCCCAATTACTATGCAACATCTTAGAATGTAAAAAAATAATATTAATAAATAAATAAGTTTTAAAAACGTACGTCTTATGTCCTTATGTGTTCTAGCATAGATTTAACTAAATTTTTAAAATATTTTGTTGTCCACTATTAAATCATATTAACATGTGTAAATATTTATATTCTATTTTACTTGTAAAAAAACTTAAATTTTATATCTTTATTGAACATTAATGATTCCAATGGACTTCCAAATGATTATACATCTTACAGATTATGAAAACTTTGTTACTTGTTGAAACTGAGAAACTTACTTAAAACTATTTATTTGAAAAAACTCAGTTCTTAGTGTTTGAATTCTGGATTAGTTTCAAATTACATACTAACTAAATTTTCTAATATTCTATGAAGTCAACTACAGAGAAGCATCTGAGTACAACATAAATATCTTGTCATGAAGCCACAGCAGTAAATAAAATGTACTGACAGGATAACTGAGATGAATGTGTGTACTTTCATCTGAGAGCACCTTCAGGAGCCCACTCCATCTGACTTACCGCTTTCTGATTCTTTGATTGCCAGCCAGGACACCACCATTAATCCAGTACAGACCACCACCAATACAGCGAAGAGAGCGGCAAACATGATTTCATCGTAGCTGAGAGAATGGTGTCTGGGAGGTACACTTCTTTTTGATCCCATTTTTTGTTTTGGAGGTTTACTAGCTTAAGAACTGTAAGATTGTATAAATACCTGCACCAACTAAAGAGCAAAATAAATCTCTCGTTATTAAAGAAGATTTGTCAAGCAACAGCGATTGAAGTCTACACTCATACTAGTCAGTGTAAACAAGCTGTGTATGTCCCTTCACCAGCATTATGTCTCTATACATTAAGTAGCTTAAAAAGGGCAGTTAATCATTAAGCAGATATAAATGAATAAAGATGCCTGGAGTTGTAAATGTTAATCACCTGAACAGACCATTTATTGAAGTGAATGCAATTAAATTCATGTTGTAAACAAAAATGACGCTTTATCCTTTTGAGAACTATCAGGAAAAATACGAAATTCATGACAGATAAATTTGTCATTAGGCACATGCACTTGATATTTGTAAAGAGATTTTCTAACAGATCGACCTCTTGCCCTCTGACTCAGTTCATTAGTAAGGCATTTCTCCTGTTGTTTGTGGGTGTAGACCTTCCAAAAATAACTTTTATGCACAGTTGTATATAAAGCCTAACATATATATATTCTCTCTCTCTTTAAATATATATTCTTCTTGAAACAATCTAAAGGTTTGTAAACGTCATTATGTCACCCATGTGAAGTTATGTAATGTTAGGCGGTATTGATTTAACTTAAAGAAAGTCCACTTAAATAAGGCATCATATGGCTTCTCTCTGTGCAATTATCAGCAGTAGTAGTAGCTGCCATAAGAGGAATACAGCATTTGTTTCTATTTTAAGAAAATATTCTGGGTGGGGAAGACGTTGCTTACTTGGCCTGGACTTTATCTCTTTAAACATGCCAATTATAACAAGAGAACAGGTTAAGATAATGACACTCATAATTGTAGGCCTATGCATTGTGGGAAAACCAAAGCTGTTTTCTGATAATTACAGTGTATCACTGAAACTTCCACACTTTGAATAATGAATTTAGGATTTAAAAAACCCCAAACAAACAAACAAAACAAACAAACAGACAAAGACTAAACCTATTCTGAAGTAAACCAAGTTGCATTTTGCTCTGGTAGGTAAAGCCGGCCAGAGGTAAGGAAGTCCTAGATCAGAAGCCCTTAATATACTCAAATTGCTCCCTGTGATAATTGGCTACGATGAACAACAGCCACTCTTCTCCTTTAAAGAAGAGGATTGCGTGTTGCACTCAAATCCTCGCTGATAAAAAGTATAATGTAAATAAGTAAATGAATGTCATTAAAATTTTTTTAATTGAATTAATACCTATCGTTAAATCCTCTAAAATATACATGAAATGAGAGACATGAGAGATGGAGCTGAGAGAAATTCATTTTATTTGGGGACAATTCTAATAATATACCAGACTATCTCTTAAAATTTTGGCCTGGAAAGGTGCCTCTTGAATTGAAAAAGCCAAGGAGATGGAAGCGTGATACTGTTTTCTCTGTATAGCTGACGCAGAAACAAACTTGTCAGAAAATCAAGTAGAACTCTAAGTAACATTTTTTCTTTTTTACTTTATAGAAGGAAAGGAGAAGACAACAAAGGGAGGTAACGTGCTCTACTCCAAGCACAGGGTAATAATAGATGAAATATAAGACTGGAAACCCAAAATGATTTATATAGGTTCAGAAAGAAAGTCAGCATCCAGATTATAAATTATCTTCAAATAATATGTTTCAAATAATTATATTTAGTATATTCAAGTAAGTGAGTGGAATAATAGCTTTTTTAAAAAAGGCAATCATTTATGGAGGGCAGACTGACAAATAAAACAAACAGGTGAACATCAAAAAGAACAAATCACATGTCCTGAAATTTTTTTTAAAAAGTAATTAAAATAAAACAAGACTTGCCATATCAGATCACAAAACTAATTACAAAGTAATAAAAATAGAATGCAGAATCAGTTCAGGAGTAGAGAATTATCTTAGTGGTAAAGAGCAGTGTCCATAAACAACTTGATTCACATATGAAAACCTCATATATTGAAAACATAGTGTTACTCGTAGCAGTAGGTGAAGAAAGAATGGCTATTCAATAAACAGTGCTGGGTCAATTTGTTATCCATCTTCAGATAAATAAAATTAGATCCGTATCTCACACCATAAAAAAAGTAAATCCCAGGTGCATTAAATATACATAAAAACTACAGAATATTTTTGAAGAAACTATAGAAGAATGTTTTTCTGATTATAAGTTTTTTTTTTTTTTTTTTCCTTTTTGTCTTTTTTCGTGTCCAGCAACGGATCGCAACCCTCAGTGTCGTGCCCGTACCGGACCGGGACCGGCAACGGGATCGCAACCGTCAGTGTTGCGCCCACACCTCGCTCAGCCAGTGAGCGGGAACCGGTCTGTATGTGGGATCCGAACCCTCGGCGGGAGCGCCGCCGCGCTCCCAAGCGGCGCACTTTAGCAGTGCGCCATTGGGCCGGCCCTGATTATAAGTTTTTGAAGACATTTTTAAAAATGGATTTTAAAATAAAAGGATAAACCAGGAAGAAGATTATTTATATATTTAGCCAATTATAACACTTTTTTCCCCAAAAAAACAAAAGACAGCAAAAAGAAAGTAAAATCCTCAGTGGGGGACATGGGCAATAATTGCAATTTGTGGTAGTAGGCATGCCGATGATATTGATCTGATCATCACATCTTGGTCATAGGTGGTGATGGTCAGCTTTGTACCCCATGAAAACCTAAGAAAGTAAAACCTAAGACACAACTTTTTTTTTTTTTTTTTTTTAACTGCCCATGTTTCAGTTTGGCTACAACAGAACAGAACTGAGGCTAGGATTTTAGTATGAGATACTCAAATTTATTTGTGAGGCGGTCAACGGAAACTCCAAGAGAGGAGTTGGAAGTAAAAAGGCAGGAGGTTGGGTAAATAAATCCAATGAAGACTGTGTGTGATCAACACAGTTACCACCACAGGCATCTGGAACATAATCCTGCTGGGGGTGTGTGGCAAGACAGTGAGAACAGGCATCAGTTTCCCAATTAATGTGCATGGAAGCGGGGGTCTTTACTTGCCCAATGGCCATGCTCCTTGGTTGAGAGTAGCTTCGGGGACGTTTCTCTCCAGCACTTTCAGCTTGCTCTGTGTGTGGGTAGAACATTCAGTGGAAGCCGACTTCAGTGTGCAGAGATGAATGAGAATGCCAGTGGGCATGGGATCTTTACAATGTCTGCTACAGCTTACGAACGAAAAACACTATCCAGAATTTATAAAGAATTTCTGCTAATTAACAAATAAAGACAAACAGCAGGCAATTAACAAAAAACACAAAACCGAACAAGAAAGAAACAGAACATAAACACACAAATATCTATAGGTGCTCAACTTCAGTAGTAATTATGGAACTACAATTCAAGAAAAAAATGAAATATTATTGCTTTCATACATATTAGGAAAAATTAAAAGCCTTAGCATTACTAAGTAGTAGCATTAATTGCTTTACTAAGTAGTGACATTTATTGCTTATGGGAGTGAAGTTTCAAATAATCATGTTAAATAGCAATTTGGTAATATCGAGCAAAATTAAATAAATTCATATAAAAGTACATGAACTGCAGCTGTACATACAGCCTGGAAATAGTAAACCAAAATTTTAAGCAAAAAAAAAAAAAAAAAAAAAAAAAAAAAAAAAAAAAAAAAAAAAAAAAAAAAAAAAAAAAAAAAAAAAAAAAAAAAAAAAAAAAAAAAAAAAAAAAAAAAAAAAAAAAAAAAAAAAAAAAAAAAAAAAAAAAAAAACAAGTTTAGAAGGATATACGTAGTGTTACACTATTTAAAATCAAAAAAGAAAATCGTTGGTTTAGTCATTTAGTTGTGAGTAATAAAAGTGCACATGCAGATGATAAACAGAAAATTCAGTATGGTGGTTATTTCTAAGCAATAAAGGAGGTAGATAGTGTAAAGGTAAAATATCAAGGTGTATTTGTGTTGTGTTAGTTCTCTTAAAATTTTTGAAGTAATTTAATGAACCAACATAACTTTGACAGAGCTAGACAATTAGGACATATGAGTTAATAGTGTTCTGCATTTTTTCCATATATATACATATATATATATACACACATATATATATGGCAAATATATTTGAAGGGGAGGCAAATGATTGAAATTCCTGTAATATTAATAATAATTTTCATCTTTATTAAACAATCACTAAAATTTTAAGAAACTTTATACGGAACTTTCTATTTTGAGAAAAGCAGAAGTTACAAAAAATCCCCCGTAAGTCAAGTCATTGAATGTCTATAGTAGAATACAATACTTATTTTAAACATCTACTTAAATATTTAACCATATAAGCTAAAATGATCTATATGAAGTAGAAACAAATAAGTGTGATATGTTTGGGATGTTGAATAAAGAGATTATATAGCTCTGGATAGGTAAACATCACTAACACTCTTAAGGAAGCTTTCAGTGAGTAAAGCTTTTGGGTACCATTTCAGTGGTGGGAGTGACTTATTCTTGTTAGAATAATGAGATAGGAAGAAACTTGAGCATAGCAGGAGATGGAGTAGGTATAGCCAGTGCTGAAGCTTTGCTGAAGTCCTAAAACAGAGTTATTATTATTTTTGCCTACAGTGAATGAAAGGGTAAAAATACACCAGCTGAGAAAATTAGGAGTCTGATAAGCTCTTGATAATGCTATCAAAGCAAAAGGACCCGAGGGTAAAGAACCATGGTATACAACGTAATGTTTGTTTGCTCAACAAATATGAGGTATTAAACTCTGACTGTACAAAGTAGCAGTAGTAATTGCAGAGAGTATTTAAAGATTAAGGCTACCAGCATTTATATAAAATTTCTTTCACTGTTCAATACAAGGCAAGAAAAAAAATCCAAACAGCTTTCATCTTTAATAATTTTCTGTGACTAGGTTGTTAGCAGATAAATATATTAAATAAGGTTAAATTAAAAAAATATATGATAAGAATATATTCTTCATCCAAAATAATTCTGGAGATTTCACACATGATTTTTCT